CGGTTAGAAATTAAAAAAAATGCCTAGAAAAGGCTTTTGTTGTGGAAGATTTTAGAAATTTTTTAATAAAAGCGATTTTTCCTAATAAAGGGGTTTTATTTTTACTTTTAAAAAAAAAAGGGTGTTGGCGTTAGGCCTTATAAATAAAAACGTATTGTTTATTATAAAAGTAAAATTGGTAGAAAGTTATTAAAAAATTGCTTTAAAGTAGGCTTTTTAAGGTGTTAAAAATTAAATATGATTTTTGAAAAAATTAAAGTTCGTTAAATAAATAAGTATTTTAAGCTTTATTTATAAATTTAATGGTAAAATAATATATTATATAGCTTTTTATTAATAAATAAAATAGCTAAAAAATATAAAAAAAATAGCTTTAAAATACTTATTTTTAATTAGAATTTTATATATTTTTAATATATAAGATCTTTTACTTTTTTATAAGCTTCTTACTTTAGATTAAATTTTTACTTTTTTTTACTATTTTACTATATCTTAAATAAAGGCTTTAAAAATATAAAAAAAATCTTCTTATATACTATAAGCTATAAGGATTATATATATATTTTTTTTTAATTTTTAAAGTAAGTATTAAAGCTAGAATTAAAGTTTTAATTTTTTAAGGCTTTATTTTAAAAAAGGCAGTAATAGCTTATAAAAGAAATTTCTCTTTCTTTTATACTAAAAGTACTTTTTTCTTAATAATAAAGTTTTAATAATTTTTACTATATTTAATTAATATAGATTTTTTTCTTTTTATAAAACTAGTCTTTTTAAGCTTATAGCTTTATTAGTTTTTTTTTAAATAATTTTTTTAATTTTTAATATTTTTACTTTTTTTTACTTTATATTATATAATAGCTTAAAAAAATATAATAAATATATTAAAAATATTATATTATATATTATTTTTTTTTAAAATTTTATATATTTTTTATTTATTTATAAAAGGTTATATAAATATTTATTACTTAAGTATATTTTTTATATACTTTAATTTAAAATATTAATTTTAATTAATAAAATAAATTATAATAAATATATAAAAATTACTTTTATATACTTTATATATTAAATTTATTATATATATTTTTATATTAAATAATATTTAATATTTAAAGTATAATTTTACTTTAAAAATTAAAATAAATTATTTTAGGGTTAGGTTAGGGTTAGGGTTAGGGTTAGGGTTAGGGTTAGGGTTAGGGTTAGGGTTAGGTTAGGGTTAGGGTTAGGGTTAGGGTTAGGGTTAGG